CTCTCTGCCCCTCCCCCACCTCTCCCAATAAATACACGTTAAAAAAAAAAACAAAAAGGCTTTCCAGTGAAACGTTCCCTCACCACCTCTCACCTGCCTGCTTTCCCGGCCCCTTGCCAAGGTGACCTCCGTTATTAACACGGATATAGACCCTCTCAACCTTTCCTCCAAATGGCAGCATATAAAATACGTGTCTGCCCTGCCCACTTCGCGTAGTGTTGCTTGGAGAGCTTTCCCCATCTGCACATAGCTTCCTTGTTCTTCCCTTCTTTATAGACCTTTCTTCGCTCTTATATTCCATCTGAGGGTTGCATGCTAACCAGTCATGCCAGTTGCGCAGGCCCAACAAACCACATCCCGTCATCAGGAAATCCTCTCCGTGCGTCTCCTCCCGCCTCCACCGCGACTACCTTGTTGGATGTCCCTCCCCTTCTCCGCTGGAAGCAAGGGCGGCCCTTGAGGCTTTCCTACTTCTTCCGCCAAGTGCCCTCCGGCCACAGGTGTGAGCCAGTCCTGGGCGCACCTTTCCCTCTCAGGTTCAAGTCCGTCCGGGGCTCCTGTGCGAGTTGGCTCCCACTGCTGTGACCAAATACCTCAGGGTGCGGAGGCTTAACCTACATTTACTTTTCACAGTTCTGGGTCCCGGAAGGCCTAGATCCAGGCGCCAGAGGGGCTTGTGTCTGGGGACGGCCCTCCCCTTGGGTGGCGGGTGGCCACCTCCCCACTGGGTGCATACACGCCTCTTCTGGGTGGGCCTGTGGGGCTCTTGGCCTCTCTAGGGAGGCAAGCCCTTGGGCGTCTCTTCTAAGAATCCAGCCAGGTCAGGACCCCATGCTTATGACCTCAATTCACCTAATCACTCCAAATACAGCCACCCTAAGGGTTAAGGCTTCAACATGTGAATCTGGGGAGGGCACAAAGATTCAGTCCACAGCATCTGGCACACCACCCCCAAAAGCCCTGGGGCTCTACAAAATCAACCCTGCCCAGCACACCTTCCGCTAGGGGTCGACCCTGGCCACCCTAACACCCACTGTCCAGCACCTGCCTCGCCTGCTCCATACTGCCAGAGCGCTTGTCCCTTCTAACGGACTACGGCATTTACTTTGTCCTCTTCCCCTGCCCCGTTAAGAGTCACGACCAGGGCGGGGCGCCTGGGTGGCGCAGTCGGTTAAGCGGGTAAGCGTCTGACTTCAGCCAGGTCACGATCTCGCGGTCGGTGAGTTCGAGCCCCGCGTCAGGCTCTGGGCTGATGGCTCAGAGCCTGGAGCCTGTTTCCGATTCTGTGTCTCCCTCTCTCTCTGCCCCTCCCCCGTTCATGCTCTGTCTCTCTCTGTCC